AGAATTCGGCCGCATCGTGAACGCGTTTACTGGCTGCTTTGCGTTGCGGTACTGCCTGTAAATAATACAGACCACCTTCAAACAACAACAACACGCCTTCAATGAGAACCAACCAGATTCTTGCCCCCGTAAATACCAAATTCGATTGTTTCAGCGATTGTCGTTAAACACGACTCCGTCTCAACCAACTGCGGTGCGGCACACAGCCAAACAGCCAAACTCATGTATGCTGCGACCACCTCAAGCACATCATATCGTTATTTATTACCGCTACTCAAAATCAAAATCAAAACCTACCGATGAATGCAAATCTCTGGAATGCTGAGGTGGCGGCTTCTGCAGTTGTGTGTCTATGAAACGACAAAGCGATGTCACTATCGAAAAGCCCGTTGACAAATCTTCTAAACATCATGCCATCATTCACAATAATAATAATAATAATAATAATAATAATAATAAATAATAAGAATAAGTACCAACTTCTATAAAACAATATGTTTGGATGTATGTTCGTGATTGAGTTAATGCAGTCGATCGCCGCCAAGCACACACTCAATTCAGAGCACCACAACGCTTTGCACATATTCTCACAAATCTCATACACCACCGTTTTCAGCAACGACACACAATAATAACCTCAATCATAACAACAATTACAATTACAAATAACAATTACAATTACAATTTTATCATAAAAACAACCTCCATCCTTCTCAGCACCCTCCGACGCCTTCGACTCGTCCTGTTGTCGCGTTAATCTCTCCGCCGTGAAGCACATATCGTACACGCAACTCTCTTCGCACAATATATTACACATCGCTACAATAACCAACAACAACAATAATAATAGTAATAGTAATAATAATAGTAATAGTAACAGTAATAATAATAACAAACCCAAAGTAAGATGCAAGTTTGCAGGATCGGTTTCATGTCGTAAAGAATAAATGAGAATGCGATGAATGCGAGGTCTCAACTCAATGTAAGACTGCGAATGCCCTTCTGCTATGCTATATCCTGATGAACTGAACGAGACGTGCGATGGATCTGCAATGTTCTCTTAGTTAATAAGCAAAAGCAATAATTATAAAAGCAATATACCAGCAATACGCGCACATCCGAATACAGTTGGCCAACTTAAAATCGACGACAAAGCACGAAGACACGCACGTCTCATTTCCACTTCACTTATTGATGGATGCAGTCTTCAATTAATTATTATTATTATTACCTGCATTTCAATTAATTAATAATAATAAACAATACCATAACTCACTATCAAAGATAACAACCTGAGTTTGGTTGATTCGGGGAGTACTATATCAATTGCGACCACAAAAAGAGGTAGTAGTACTTCAATCCCTTTCAAACCCAAACGAAACATATTTTCGCCAAAATATATTACCGAACATAATATCAGACGATCTTTCTGCAATCACAATACAATTATTGATAATAATAATAATAATACAAATAAATAACCTCAAGTAATGCCTCATGCACAACTTTATAAAACTGTGCTAGCTGGCAGTCGGCTAGCGTCTCAAGGCTGTTCTTCGAACAAATGATTCGACATAAGGCGCCGATCGCAGCAGCACGTCCCGCCGAAACACCGTCCACCCCAGGCCATTCTGTGGGCGCGGTTAGCCACTGCGCTTCACTTGAGGATGTTGTTGATTGACCTTCATTAACATTAATTAATTAATTAATTCTCCCGCAAGAGAATTAAAGAAACAGATGCTGCAATAAGAACAAGAACACACCGAAAGAACGTCTCGTCACTGCAGAATCACTCGTCGACGTATAGCCCGCAGCCATGCCCTCGCCCGACTCGCCCAACTGATTCTCGTCTACTCCAAATGAACTCATTGAACGCTGACTTCCAACATCTGATAATGCTGCAAAACACCATCTATCTACACACTCAAATACTACCTTTACATCAATAACCAATAAAATCAATGAAACGCCGCTGCATAACTGCCATTACACAATGCCCATAAGTAGATGTGCTGTGCCTGCCGTCCTACTCATTACAAATGCAAAGCTGATCAAATACAATAATAATCCCAATTGAACACGCCTTCTCTCTCACCTGCTCCACCCGACTGTCGATAATGTACTGTCGATGTGCTCGTCGTCGTCAACGGTTTGATTAATGCCGATTTCACCAGCCAGTCCATGAACATATCTAGCATAGCTCCTGTACTCGGTCCTGGCTGCTCACCCAAACTGTGCTGCTGCTGCTGCAGTTTTGTTTCGCGACGTTCGATGGCATTACCTTATCAATAACACCGTTATTCAGCCAACCACTCATCATTCCCTGTGTCTAAGCGTGAATAATCTCATTAAATCAACCAACTTTTCAAGTAGTTCCACACGAACTGACTCGCTGTCGGCTTAGCCAACTCGGGCGGTGACTCACCTCCGCCACTATGCACTTGTGCACTCTGCGTTTGTAGCGAACGCTCTAAAATTTTTATAACCATAATATTATAATGGCAATATCATAATATTAAAATGGTAATGTCATAATCATATCATAATAATCATTATTTTTACAGGCATATTATAATGGCAACCAACAAATTATTCACAAACCAGACACTGCTCTTGTTTTTGACGTGTGCGAGTGCGATGATGACTGCAATCCAAAAGCGTTCTTCAGTATGTTTGAACTAGACGTACCGCCACCTTAATTAATACCAATAACAATATTAATAAAACAAACACTAAAAATAACCCGAAGTTGTGACGCTAGTCGCAGTGGTCATTGCAGGATTCAACGTCGAAGCAGCTGACGATGTCGTCTGCATTTGTTGAATGTTGGCTGCTGTCAACGTACCGCTATCACCTCCTCCTGCATTTGTGTTCACCGAACCACTCGCGCTTCGTTGGATCATCTTAAACCAAGCACCCATCTACTTTTCAATTAACAAGCGCACAAGCGACTATAAGGCGCATTCACGTAAACAAAACAGGTCAGTGACCTTTCAACTCAATAACCATAACTAATCCAAGATATAAGGCGTTCCGCTCAGCTGCGGGTTATAAGGCGTACTGATTGTCGTCTTTCGACAAGATCAAAGGCTTTTAAGTGCACCTTAAATTCGGTCAACTGACCTGTTGATGTTTCAACCACTCGTCGTAATTGGCTCGATTGCATTCTGCCCACTGCCGCATCAACTCTTCCGACTCTCTGAATTCCACCGATACTTTGCAATCACCTCAAATCACCTCAACTTAATAACACAATAAACACAATAATAGATACCACATACCATAAAAAATATCCACGAGTTTCGATATCGCTGCACAAGCCAAGAAGAAGCACTGCCGAAGTTTACTCGCAGTATACGCACTCATCTCGTCGCCAAGTCCCGTAACCAGCGGTCTTCCGTCACTATCCATTTTGCCACCTAACAAAATGCATTGCTTATCATCACTTAAACAACAACAATAATAATAATAATAATAATAATAATAATAAAACAAACCAGTAGCAAGAAGCGCTTGTATGGGCGTATGAGGCACGGCGCCCACAGCGCACGGCTCGAACGTGACTATATTGGCCGGGTTACCGATCAGATGCAGCATCTCAAACCAGCACACGTGCAGCACCGAATACGACTCGTCCTCTGCTCGTCGCCCAACGAATTTCACAAACTCCTTCACCTCATCGTCCACTTCAACTTCCATTATTATATTCATATAAACCAATCAATAAAAACTAACCTATCTTCACACTGCAATAGTCTGTACCAAACATCTCTTGAACAATTAGCACGGATAAAGACAACACCTTTCGTGCCCAATTCTCTAACACTGGTACCTTTAATTCTTTACCATTACTAGTAATAATAATAATAGTAATAATAACAATAATAAATATTCAACCACACCTGGTGTCTCCATCGTTTACATAGAACTGATAATGTCCTCCAATATGACGGTGATGGAATTAGCTCAGCTCGCGCCGCAAATAAGAATTCGTCGAATAATGTTAACGACATTTTTGGTGCCATCACTGCGCTTATTTCATCTACAATAATACTGACAATAATAATAATAACAATTACAATGATAATAAACAACAATAACAAATGTACTAACCAGGAGTAGATAACTGTCCAGATAATAATAAATCAGCGACATTCATTAAGAAATGCAGCGACTTAGCACAGACCCAGTCGCGATGAACAGATTTACAATTGGAGTTGAGTGTTGTGATTGCTTTGAGGATGATCTGCATCTGCTGTGATTGACGTGTGATGTGGATCTGATCGCTTTCTGATAGTTGCTGATGGGCACTCGCTGCTGCTGCTGCAGTATGCACTTGAGAGTTTAAGTTGCTTGTAAAGCTCTTTATATGAACAACTAACCAGTGCAAGACTGTCCCAGCACAGTCAACGAATTCAATGAGTGGTGTGTCGACGACGACTCCGAGCATGCTGCTGTAGTATGACGAGTGAATATTAATCGCAACGCATCGATCATCTCACTTAAACACTTACACGATTTATCATTCATAAACACTAGCACCGACACCAACCTAGTATATTTCTGAGGGTTCTGCTTCAAAGGCTTTGGTACACTTGGATGCGATTCATTGATCAGAGCGCTCAGCCATATCACGTAGGTTCGCACGGCTGCTCTGAGCGCTTCATACTCCCTTGATGGTGAATACGACAACGTCAACGCATACGATATCACCTCAAAATACTCATACCATCCAACCGAACAACCGACCGCTCAGCAACTCACACGACACCAATACTGACACTCTTTGCGATAACAACTACTTTATATGTACATGAACCTTGAAATTGATCTCATTCACGTGAATGAGATCAATTTCAAAAATGAATCAATGATCATTCACGTGAATTGCAAGTGAATTATCACGTAAACACATCATTTCATTTAACTATAAACAGATGCACGCGCCATTTTAAGTGCATAATAGTCAACAATACATAATGATATGCGTTACAACCCTACAACAATATTACCTCAAGCTGCGTTGCCTATGACAGCAATAAAAATTATTGTTATTTTAATAATACTAAATGTTTATGATAATAGTAACAAACTTGCATAAGCCACGAGAGTTGTTCTTCAGTTTCTACGTGCCAGCTGTCGGCCACTGAAGCTTCGGCATTCTCCAAAATTTCTTTCATTAACACTTCGGCCACATACTCTCCAGCTCCTCTGCAGGTCACAAAATAACAATAACAATAATAATAGCAAATTATCACTAGAGTTAGTTCTACACAATCAGCACCAGCAACGATTTCGACGAAATAAAAAACAAATTTACTTCGAAAACAGTGTCAACGTAGAGGTGTGTTGTAGCGAACGAAATTCCAACAATGGCCATTCTTCATACATAACTTTGTTAACAGCACCACAAAACACCTTCTTATCAACTCTCTGCAATATTCTTAAATAATCACATACACACACACACAAACACTCTAATCGAACGATTCTTCACGTCAACAAATCAATATCGATCCGTCGCCTTCTGCAAATCAACATTTCAACGATAGCAACGTTGACGAGTTCGAGTTCAACGATTTCAACTGCAAAAAAAAACCACAAACAACACCACCGCAGAATGTGAACTGCATTACATATCCATCCGTTCGTACATATCCAGATAATCATCAGCACATTGAGAATTCACACTCTTTTTGGCACTCTACCAATTAAGTTATCGCAATTTTGGCAGATTGCCACAATCTCTTACAGTACATCAGTTTTCACTCTGAGACCATCGTTTTCAAATGAAAATAATCATACAGCCCTTTTACCTCCGTCTGATTAAACTCACATAAATAAATGCTGAACTGCTTACATTTGTAAAATGCGTCAATTATTAACATTTTGACACGTCACCATCAGAAGTGTTTTAATAAGCTAGAGAACATGAAAAAATAATCAATCAGTTTTATACAATCGTAATTACAACGGCACTACATCAAATGAAGAATACAAAGACCCGAGAAATTCATCTGCTGAATGGATTGATTATGGAACGACGACGATCCGAGAGACCAGAAGAAGGAAAGAGCGCACAAGAGGAGAGTCAGTTCAACAAAACCAACTCAAAATACAACCCGACTTAAGTTCTCAAGCAACTGAGAAATAATAAATTGAACCGGAGAGAAAGAGAAAGACGACTATCATTTCATTTCAGTAACATTGACAAACACTAGCCATAATAATAAACATTATCTATTATTATCAGTCATACTACCATTCAAAATTATGCAAAACAGCGAAGAAAGAAGCAATGATAACAAGTTACGAAGTAAGCAGTAAAAGTAATATCAAATAACCCTACTACGCAACAACCAAGCAAGTTAATGCTTACCAGTGCCTTCGGCTGAGGCTCACTACGCCACTTAGCTGCTGATTCAAACCCGGTTCATGTCATGCTTCGCGGCGCATTTAAGCTTCATCCAGAGTTCACGCTGACGTCACCCCCTCCCATGATGCGTTAAATATAGGATTATGATAATATCTGCTCATTTCACTTCGAAAATAATGATTACAAATCGGCAATTCCGTAAAACTGACTCGATACGTCAATATTGGGATCATATTCGAGTACAGTCGTGTCTCGTTTTGACTGTTGTTGGCTGACGGGTGGTGGTACGTATGGTGCACGACTCGGTATCGAATCCAACAGATATCTATGCGAGAGCGCGTCAGCTGCTGAATACCTTAGCTCGTCACTATAGACCAATAAATGCTGCAACAAGTCTATGCATTCCCATGATGCCAGTGGTACTGAAAAGATGATATTTAAAAACAATTCTCATTTCACTAGTGATTATTCATTCGCTTGCAAAACAGGCATACTGCGATCAGCTAGCATTATTATCACCAACACCTACCAACAGTGCTCCAATCGGAAACTGCCTCAATACTATCGAAAACAATCTTGCGACTGTCCGGCAAATCACTCCAGCCCTTCCAATTTTGCTCGTTCGGCGAGCCCAGTACAGCCATCACTAAGGCTATTTGCTCCAAATCATTTCTACCCTTCAACAAACAACACAATTAATAAACAAAGCAATAACAACTACTACTATAATAACAGTAGAATAACAATAACCGCAAATAATGGTGCTCCATTCAACAGCTCAGCTAATATACAACCACATGACCATAAATCAACCTTTGGAGTGTATTTGGTCGAACCGAATAATAGTTCCGGAGCACGATACCAACGCGATGCGACCTTAACTAATTACAAATATAACAACACTCATACTCAGCAGCATATCTCATGCACTCACCTGATGTTCATAGGTTCTATTCGGATCGTTTGCAAAATATAAGCAAGCTTGGCCAAAATCAGTGATTTTCAATTTGCCCTCTGCTGATATCATCACATTCTGTGGTTTGAGATCCTTTAAGAAACTATCATCACAACACTAAAATTATCGTAACAATCACACAACTCGAAACAGTAATAGTAAACATAAACCAACTCTGTGCATTATGCCAATGCTGTGTAGGTATGCAACGCCGCATAGCAGTTGAAATAAATAAAACTTAACCACACTGTCGTTCAACGGACGACGCACGTCTTCAATAACCAACTTCAGATTCGACTCCACATACTCCATCACCAGCGATATGGTGTCCCCTCCCGAGATTATATCCAGCAATTTTACCACCTTTATCATGAGTACAATCAATCGAATGAAGGCATAATAACAAAAAGCATTTAAAAAGCAACCTACGCACATTTTCATGGTCCGTATTTCTCAGCGCAAACATCTCGCGAATCACTTCTATTTCACTGCGTCGATCACTCTTCAATGGGATTCGCTTGATGGCCACAGTCTCCCCGGTCTGTGAATAAAAATAAATAAAAAATAACATTGACAATGAATCAATAACAATAAAATAACCACCTCAAGTTTTCGAGCCATCATCACAACACCAAAAGAACCCTCTCCAATCGGTCGAATAATGCCGTAAGCAGACGAAGCAACGCCATAGTACCGACTCGAACATGCCGTTGACGAATACGAGCACATAGAACACCCAAATTAATTATTCTTCTCAATACTCAAATCAAATCAATACTATAATTCTGCAAAATTAATCACCTCATTATAAACCTAAACACATACAATATTGATACGAATGCACATCTAAAATGTGTCTAATAATAAATATAACCCAAAACGAGAATACAACCACAACAATAATAAATAATACTAATAAATAAAACTAATTTTCAAATGGTTGCTAAGCAA